GTTACAGTATTCTTCATGAACAAGCAGCTAGTGCAGATCCAATAACTGAACGGATTACAATGGAATCTGTCAAGTATAGAGATCCAAATTTCCTTCGAAATGTTCTCCATTGGCTTGCTGCCAATTCAACAGGTAAAGATGAATATTTGTTGGCAAAAGAGGCGAAAGAATGTATTGATGCTGGAGCAAATGTAAATGAAATGGATTCAAAAGAGGATACTCCATTGATGTTGGCAGTCAGATCAAGAAGAATTCGAATGGTTCTACACATGTTGAAGGCTGGAGCAGATCCATCGATTTATAATAAATCAGAGAGAAGTGCACTTCACGAAGCAGCTGCAAATCGGGACATTCGAATGATGAAACATCTTCTAACTGACAAAAGAATCATTCGAGATATCGATGAATTGGATAGAAAAGGAATGACTGCTTTGATGTATATTGCTGAGAGAGAGGGAGATGAACAAATTGAAATGGTTAAGATGATGATGGCAAAAGGAGCAAAGATTGATTATGATGGAGCTGCCAGGAAGGATTCAAACATTTATACAGGAAGGACTGCTCTTCATTACGCGGCTATGGTTGATAACCTTCCGATGGTTGAGTATTTGGTTTCTCAAAATGCGAATAAGGATAAACAGGATGAAGAGGGAAGAACTCCAATTATGTTGGCAGCTAGAGAAGGGCATTCAAGGACTGTCATGTTTTTGGTTCACAGTGGAGCAAGTATTGAAGCAGTCGATGCATTGGCAAGTAATTTTTGCTTGTCTAACATTTTATAATCTTTTCTTTTTCAGGACAATGACGCTCGTCAATTGGCTATCTCCAGGCATAACCATTATATTGTTCAAATCCTGGACAGTAACCATCCACAACCTTTCGAACACCACCAAAAGAAACCGAATCGTCCAAAATTGATCAAAAAGAAAAATGAATTGAAGAAAGTGGAAGAGAAACGATCATCTAACGAAATCGTCACTGTTCAAAAAGAGAATGTCTCTTCTAAACAAGAATTTGGAGATTCTGGAGCATCCACATCTTCTGGAAACTTCTCAATGACTCCTCCTTCTGAATCGACGTCTTCTGGATCTCCTCATGGTTCTATGGGATCCGACTCATGCATCGCTTCTACGTCATCTGAAGGATCTAGACCATCGGTTTCTCCGGTTGCTCATGAAAATATGAACCATGCAATGATGAACCCAATTCCTCCAGCTCCTTATTATCCGGAACCGTTTGAAGCAATGTACGATTACCCGAACTACAATACGGGATACAGTAATTGGATTCACAATCAGAACTACAATTTTAATAGTCAATTCAATTATTAATCTTCAATTTTGGTTATTTCAAATTAAAAAAGTAAGTTTCGGTTGAATTTAATAATTTTTCTAACGTTATTTGTATTTTCAGATCGGTGATTTTTCAAATCTTCTGGTGATAACAAATATTGTGATTGTCTGTTCCCAGCACAAAGCCAGAAGGCGGTTTCCCCACGATGCCATCAGAAGAATACTACCATCCTTGCCACGTGGAATCGGAAATTGCTACGGGACGGAGTTCAGGATTGTCTGGAAGATTTCAAAAGCTTTAATTGTTGCTTTAACTTTGTTTTTAGGTTAATTTTTTTAAATAAATTATCTATTCATTTTACAAAAGTTGTATTTTTGGGGCGGGATTTTGATACCTTTTAAAAGAACCGAGATAAGAAACCCAAAAAGCAAGTAAATGGGCAGTTTCCTATTAAAGGTAATGCAGTATATCCGGAAATGTCCAAACTCAATAAATGCGAGAGATCCTGATGGGAAATGACAAAAAAAGCTGCTACATAAATGCGGCTTCTAAAATTCAGAGCTCACATAAAGACGGAACGTTCCTTTTGAAAAAATCCTACATGAACAGATTCATGAAAAAGTTTTTTTGCTCAAAATTATAGGCTCATATAACGCCACACTCCAAGATCCCATGTACCCTCTGAACCGATGTACCCTAACAATAAGAACTCGATGTACTCTTTTTCGAAGTATTCTTGAATCCTGGGTCCCACAAACATCATGACGTTCATGCTGCTCGTTGTTATCACCACACGAGTCATACTACGCGAAAAAGTTAAAATTTTGAGCAGCATGGAATGTAGATAGATTTGCCAAAACTAATTTTATGGGAAATGGCCTGTCCCTTCCCGGATACCGTATATCCTCCCCACCACACCTTCGACCTAGTCAAAATGTATCTTTCCATTGGTTGCGCAATCGAATTGTGCATTACCGGGGTCAATCTACTAAGTTGGAAGAGAGCACCGTTGCGCAACACACCGAAAATCAAGAAAAACCTTTTAGGATGGCGCCTGGTGGAAGACACATCCACACATACATATACATGGGTCCTCTGTCTGGCTCTGACTCTCGTTATAACTTGTTCTACTCTAACGTTTCGATTCTTCTTTCAATTTTTCATTGGTCTTTTTCCAGACAAACGTTTAACCGTTTTTAATCTTTATAACTTTCAGTAAACTCAATTAGCATTTGAGTAACGTTCACTGTTTATCCTAATCATCTGCTCTCTCAAGCTCTATCAAACTCCGCGAGATGTCGTAAACCTATCCGATGACATCCGAAATTTTCCGCCAGAGAAAGCCGACGTCTTCTCCGAACTTCTTCGACGAGCAGAAGCCAAGATGCGATAACAGATCGTAAAACATAATAGAAACAAATTGAGCAGATGAGGTGCGGTGAAAAAAGGGCGGGGCATTGAGACAAAGGAGATCCAGAAAGAAGACAGTCGGGTAGCACATTCTTTCATTATACCACTTCCATTTTAAATCTTCAAATATACTTTCGATAATGTCTGTTCCACTTGCCGATTCTGAACAAGAATCTTCAGATACAGAGAAAAAAGAAGAATGTGAGTTTCCCTTAAAAAAAACATAGAATAACTTCGCTTTTCAGTTCCTTGCCTGAATTGTGGCCAGGTTTACGCTTCTAAAAGAAATCTTGACTTTCATCAAACCACGAAGCAAGGCAGATGCGCTCCAAAAAACTGTTAGTTATCATTACAAATTTCTTCAAACTATTTCATATCATTACAGTCCAATGCGAGTTCTGTGACAAGAAATTCGTTAGCAGAGGTTCCTGGAACATTCACCGTTCTTCTCTTCACGGAGCTCCAAAGATTTTTTCAGAGCTTGGATTGAGAATGGAAGCGACGAGACAGTTCTCGGAGAAGAGTTAGTTTTATAGTTTCAGTATCACAATTCAATTATCAATTTTACAGGTTATTGCGCTTTGTGTGGAAAACCATATAGTGGCGAAAGATCCCTCAAGCAGCATTTGAGAACTGCTCATGAAGTAAGCAGCAAAAATCAGAAGGTGAGGATTTTGGGCCAAAAATTGAAGAAACATTCTACGGGATTTTATAGCTTAACAGGATCTCATAGCAGTCATGACATTTCGAGATAAGCACTAGAAAGTCGTTCGCAGTCTTCGATAACCGTTGATAGTGTAATCCTTTAGGTTTCTTCGCTCCCAAAGGACTCACAAAACGAGAAACAATGCACAGACGAACTCGATGAATTTGCAGCAGAGTTGGTGACTTATATGAAAAATCTTGAAGATGCCAAAGCTTCAGTGAGTCAAAAAAAGAAAATCTAGCGAAATTTCTCGAAATTTCCAGAGCCTTGCAGCGATTTCACCTGATGGAAGCGCCATTTAGAATCCACTTCGAAGGGTTGTTGTAGATTGAAAATCAAATAATATTCAATTTCGTCTGACATTCCAGAGTCTCTCTATTATTTTCTCTAATCGAAGCTCTACCGAAGCTCGTCATCATTCCATATTCACCATTCTTTTTTTTTGTTTCTTCTCTTATCTTAATTTTGTTGTCTTTCTTATGTATCTCCCTATCCCAACTCAACTGAACATGTTATTTTCTTATTCTTTCCCATCTGCTCTTCCACCCATCTTTGATTTCTCACCTAGATTTTGTCATTTTCTAATAAATCTCACATTAATCGTGAGATACAAAACCCCATTAATTGCAAAATTAGAAAATGTCATGGGATAAGATTTGATATGGGTAGATTTAACAATTTTTCTTAAAATTCCGCACCAACTCCAGAGCTTTAGATCTAAATACCTCCGAGCTGGTCGTCGTTTAGCAAATTCTATTTCACATTAAATAACTTTTTCTCAGCCGAATGCTATAGGTCATGTCTCATAACATCATACCCGATTTACACAATTCCCTGATAAGATTTGATATGGGTAGATTTAACAATTTTTCTTTTGTTGCTTTTTTCTCATCCTAATTCTGTTATTTTTCTTTTGCCCCTCCCTACCCCAAGTCAGCAGATCGTCTAATTTTCCCCTCATTTTTTTTCGAAATCTGCTCTTCCACCGTTTTCTAATCTCTCACCTAGATTGTGTGATTTTCGAAAAATTCTCACATTAATGATGAGATACAAAACCCCATTAATTGCAAAATTAGAAAATGTCATGGGATAGGTTCAGAGTGACACCAAAAAAAGAGAAAAGAAGAGAATCTGTTTGCCTGTCGTTATGTTTTTTGAAACTTGAAAATGAACTGAGTCATAGATATCGAGGTTGTTGTGGGTAATTTTTTAACGAAACTGTTATTCAAAGAAGAATACATTTTGAAAAGGGGTATGTGTATCGGAGCAACGAGTCGAATGCCAAAAAATGGAATGAAACAGTCGATTTGGAGAATATCGAGGAAAATTCGGTGGAAAATAATGAACACAGCGAACAACACAGGTGATTCGCGAACAATCCGTTACGGACGCTCAGCTTTCCGTTACGGACGCGCGGTTAAATAGGAACCGTATACGGACCACAGCACATTATTTTTTATTATTGAAAACAAACAATTTTTTTTTTAATTGAAAACCACAGCACATTATTTCGTATTTCTCCGTATTCTG